AATGGGATGAGAGAGAGGGAGAGAGAGATGAGAGAGAGAGAGGGAGAGAGAGGGAGATGGAGAGATGGAGAAAGAAAGATGGGAAGGGAGAGAGATGGGAGGGGGGAGAGGGAGGGAGGGAGAGAGAGAGAGACAGAGACAGAGAGACAGAGATACCTGTTTCCCATAGAAAAGAAAACACCGAGAGCCACAAAACCTGGGTAGGTGTGGCTGGGAGGTCATGTGACTCGGGAGTGAGTGACATCGAGTTGGCCACACCCACCAAGGTTTTGTGGCTCCCAGTGTTTTGTTTTCTGTGTGAAACGCGTCCAAATGACTCTGAGTATTTAAGGTTGCGGAACCCTGGGTTAGACTGAAGAAAATCCTATACACACTGAACCTAGTGAAGATTCCACATTTCAGTTATTCCCCTTGAGGAGGACATGAATTTAATACAGATTCACCTAGCCTAATCTCAGCTCCCATTAGACATTCCCATTTTAACTATTTATGAGTATTTAGAGAACGAATCACCTATTTTGATCGCCTAGGGAGACTACTCTAGATTTATCTGCTGCTGTCACTTCATGTGCAGAAAAAGCAATTTTGGCTTCTAAGAATGTTTTAGAAAGACAATCTACCAATTAAACTATAAGAATAAGTAAGGACATGTTTAAAAAGTCAGTTTTAAAGTTTTAAACAGCATTTAATCAGATTTATTGTTTTTAATCATCTTGAGCTTATATGCCTCAAAAATGATTTACTGAGTGGTTCAAAAATCAGTGTGAGGTTTTTAAAAAAATCATGGGCCATAATTGTCATAGGTTGACACAAGTGATCTATTATAATTCATATGTTATTGCTATCCATTTCTCTCTCTTTATAGGACTGGTTGGAAAAGAAGAGAATCTTCCTTTTGGAATTACAAAGAATAAAAAGAACCAAAGCCGAGAACTTGCGAGAGAAAAATGAAAAGGTTGGTTTTAAAACTTAACCATAAGTTTTATTAAGTCATTCCATGAGTGCTCCAGTTATGTCCTGTTTCTTTTTGACTTCATGCAAATGATGTTGGATGAAGATTGTTAAATTTAATTATGATAAAGAAGCAAACAAAGAGGATTGTATGTAAGTTTATATTATTATACACAGAATTACAAACATCAGTGTCAGCTCTAAACATATAAACAAGGCAGGATGTTGATCATGGTTTTTTTGTTTTAAAATTATTGATGATTTTACATGTTTGTATATTGGTTTTTAACTTGTATTGGGTTTTTTTTTAACCTGTTACAAACTACCTATATTTGCTTAAAGGAAATGGGAAACTGTATAGATCTTTTTCTTTCTCCTTCTCTTTCTCCCCCTACCCACTCCTACTCCTTTAAAAAAAAAAACACCAAAAGATAAAACTGACCATTTGGTGAACAGTATAAGAAAAGGGATATGCCAGTCCAAGATTTTCATATTCAGCTTTAGGTTCCATAAAGACCTTAATAATCTTAGTAATCAACAATTACTACCAACACATACAGGAACTAATCAGCAATCTTTTAACTAGCTCAGGATTTAAACTAGATGGATTAACACTGTAATATACTTACATAATATGGTAAGACATGATTGCTGTCTCTCAGTAAAGAAAGAGATTTTTAAAATTGGTCAACAGGGAGACTGGCTTTTTTTTTTTTTTAAAGTATTTTAGCAATGTTAGCTAGGCTTTGACAGAAATTCTAACATACAACCATGTGCCCATTACGTTCCATATGATAATTAAGTGTTTTCAGCTGACCTCTTAACATGTTTGCAGGACTTTATAATGCTAATATGCTTTATAACTTGCCATCAGTATTTTTATACATGATCTTTAATGTCACAGGTTGAGAGTTCTACATAGAATTGCAGAGCCAGTGTGTGGTGCAATAAGACTGCGTTTATTAGTATGATTCCCTGGGTTAGGGACTTTCTGTCTTCACTGTGAGTTATGTTGGGGGGGGGGGGTACACGAAGGGAGGCTCAGACAATCTCATTGTTGTACTCATGTTGTACTCTTGACAATAAAGGTTGATTTGATTTGATTTGATTTTGTTCTCATAATCTTAATATATAATCAAGTACTTTTAATTGGTAAATAGACTAGCTGAGAGGAGATGGTGGTTTTGTAGATACGTGAAATAGTTCATTATAAATAGAATCTGAATTAAATAGCACAATTGTGCAATAGTTTGGATTCAGAAGCAAAAAAGCAATTCAGCATATGCAAGAGTACTCCTGTAGCGCCTCTCTCTTTCCTTAAAGCAGCTGTACCTGATCCCGGAATCACACCGACACCTTTAATGACTAAAACACAATCCTGGCAAAATATGTATTTGGTTAAGGAGTTGCAGGCAGGTGCTAATTTGAACTTCCATTGATCCTAAAGCACATTTTGCCTCACGAAATAGTGGCTCATGAAATCCATCCAATGTATTCATGTCAAAGAAGTGGTTGAAGTCTTATTTCCTAAATCAAAACCTGAATCTCTATCCATTCAATTGATTGCCCTAGAGAACTCTACAACATCCTTCCCTAACTTCCTGCTCTCCTAATGTTTTGGGCTGAAACATGGGTGGATCAGCCTTGAATATAAGCAATGCTAGCTAGGAACAAGTGTGTTCCAAACAGAAAAATCACTATTGTAGTTTTAAAGGTAGTTTACTAAAGGTGATGGGAAAAAAAGAATTTAATAGAATACTTTCACGTATCCTGAAGCTTTTCTGATTAAGGACAATATTTGTAGTTCAGGGTTGAAATGAGGTACATCTGATCTTATCTAGTTTGGGTAATGAAATGTCTGCAAGAAAACAATCAAGCTCAGGGAACACCAAGGACCCCTTGGTTTTCTAATGTACAAATTTATATTTGTCGTGTCCGTCGCAAGGAAGAAGACTCGGAGCCAGTGACTTTAGTTCAGCTCATTTATTGATTCCTGAGATCGGCTCGGGTTCGAAAGAAAAACGGCGGCTTTTATTCTTTGGCCGCGGCCAATGGCACCGCTTTGAATCTCCCGCGATCAGTTTCCACCAATCGCGGGAGATTCGCGGCGGGCCAATCAGTGCTGCTCGCTCGACAATCAGCTCGCCGCGCGTCTTGGCCAATCACTGCGTGATTCTATAAGAATGGTAATGACCGTACAGAACACCCCTCCCCTCTTGGTAGGGCCCTACGTAACGTAGTCCCGTAAGTAGGCGGGGCTACGTACTTGTCTACTTGACCTGTGCAGATTAGTTGGTGCTTGGCTCCCGGCCGGTTCGATCGGGTTCTGTGTTGCTCTCTGCCCTGTTGATGGAACCGTCTGGAAAGCTGAGCCGGGCCTTTCATCGCAGCTCCCTCCCAGTCTACCCGGTCTGGTTGAGCTGCGGTTTCCGCTCCCGCCTGGTCTTTCCGGGCTGGTTGAGCTGGCCTGGCTGCTTCTCCCTGGTGAGGTGTCAAGCTGGCTACTTGCCGGTGAGTATTCCTGGTTTCTTTCTCATGGGTTTTGGGCCTTGGGGCCTTCCCTCCCCTCTTGGTTTGTGTTGGGGGGGGGGTTCCCTTCTGTGTTTGCTTCTGTTTGCGTGTCGGTTGTGTTTCCTGTGGCTGTTCTTGACCTTAATTGGTCGATGTGTCGTTTCCATGCTCGTCCGTCGGTTGTCTGTAAGCGGTACGAGCGTGGACCTGTCACTTGGGTTATGGTTGCTGGTACCCAGAGTGGGTCTCCGATGAGGTTTTTCGCGTATACTGTGTCGCCTGTTTTAAATATTCGGTCTTTGCTTGAGGAGTTTGGGGGTTTTTCTGGGCTGTATGTGGGGTGCAGTCTGTCGAGTGGGGACCTTAATTTTCTCCCCATCAGTAGTTCTGCCGGGCTTTTATTGGTTGTTGTATTCGGGGTTATGTGTTGTATGAAAAGCATTTTGTTTATTTTCTCTTGGATTTCCCCGTTTTCTATCTTTTGGATAGGTTTTTTTGTAAATTGAACCATCCGTTCCGCCCTCCCGTTCGCCGCCGGATGTGCCGGCGCTGTCAACGCGTGTCGTATCCCCCGCTCCGCTAGGAATTTTTCGAATTCCAGCGAGGTAAATTGGGGCCCGTTGTCGGATACGATGACGTCTGGGAAGCCGTGGGTTGCGAATAGTTTTCCTTGGTGACGGCCTCCGTGGTGGTAGTTCTCATGTTGCTTACCTCCAACCAGTTGGAGTAAGCGTCTACCGTGATGAGGAAAGTGTGGCCTTTCGTGGGCCCGGCAAAATCTATGTCAATCCTGGACCATGGTCCCCTAGGGGTTTCCCATTCCAGGATTGGGGCGGCAGGAGGGCTGGGCCTGGTTTCCTGGCATCTGTTGCATGCTGCCACCCAGGCCTCGATTCGTTTGTCCATTCCTGGCCACCAGGCGTAACTTCTGGCCAAGGCCTTTGTCCTTACGATGCCTGGGTGCCCCTCATGCAACAGTTTCAATACTTTTCCCTGTAATTTTTCCGGAATAACAACCCGGTCCCCCCAAAGTAAACAACCTTTTTGTAGTGACAGTTCTGTTTGCCGGTTCCGGAATGTCCTGAAGGTTTCGTCGTCGTCCTTTTCGGGCCACCCCTTCTCTACCCAATGTAATACCCGCGCCAGACGTTTGTCTTTATTGGTTTCACGGGCAATGTCTGACGCGGTTATGGGTAGATCGGGCAGAGTCTCTATGCTAAGGGTGGCCGTCGTGGGTGCTGGGTCGGTGTCCAAGTCCGGTAGCGGCGTGCGGCTCAGGGCGTCTGCGTGGGTGATTGTCTTCCCGGGTCGGTGTGTGAGCCGGTAGCTGTAGGCGGCAAGGAATTCGGACCACCTTGTCATTCTTGGGGATAGAATGTTCGGGGTGGCCCTGTTCCCTGCCAGGATTCCCAGCAGCGGCTTGTGGTCGGTGACGATGGTGAAGGTCCAGCTGTAGATGTACTCGTGGAACCTTTTGACTGCGGCAACGATAGCCAGGGCCTCTTTGTCCAGCTGACTGTAGTTTCTTTCCGGTTTGGTGAGGGTCCTTGAGAAGAAGGCGATGGGTGCTTCTTTTCCGTTGGGGAGAGTGTGGCTGAGAACGGCGCCGACGCCAAAGGGTGATGCGTCGCATGTGACAGCTAGCGGTAGGGTCTCGTTGTATTGGATCAGGACGGCATCCGAGGTGAGCAGGTCCTTGGTTTTGTTGAAGGCGGCTTCCTCGCGTTTCCCCCACATCCACGGGGCCGCCTTGTCCAGGAGCCTATGCAAAGGCTCCGCCGCGGTCGCCTTCTGGGGCAGGAAAACATTGTAAAAATTAAGCAGTCCTAGAAATGCCTGTAGTTCCGTTTTATTCTTCGGCCTGGGGGTTTCCTTAATTGCTCTGATTTTTTTCTCGGTTGGGTGAATTCCGTGCCGATCTAAAAGGTACCCCAGGAACTCGACCCTCTCGGTGTGTAATTGGCATTTTTCTTTTTTAACCTTCAGCCCCGCATTTTTGAATTTTGTTAGGACCTCCCTCAGGTGGCCCTCCAGTTCTTTTTGGTTGGCTGCCGACACCAGTACGTCGTCGAAGTAGGGTACCACCCCCTTGATTCCTTGCAGGAGTCTCTCCATGAGGCTCTGGAATATTCCTGGGGTCACGCTCACTTTAGTTCAGCTCATTTATTGATTCCTGAGATCGGCTCGGGTCCGAAAGAAAAACGGCGGCTTTTATTCTTTGGCCGCGGCGGCCGCGGCCAATGGCACCGCTTTGAATCTCCCGCAATCAGTTTCCACCAATCGCGGGAGATTCACGGTGGGCCAATCAGTGCGGCTCGCTCGACCAATCAGCTCGCCGCGCGTCTTGGCCAATTACTGTGCGATTCTACAAGAATGGTAATGACCGTACAGAACAATATTTATGCTTGTATGCTATATGTTCTTGTATCCCTGCATAAAATAGGAGATGAACAAAATAGCTTAGAAGTGAGTGTGTTGACTAAGACCAGTTTTCCAAAATAGCAGGAATTCTTCAAGAAAGAAGAAAGTCACAATTATTTGACTTATTAGATACTCTATCTATACTAATATCTACCCATATCAGTTCAGATAAATAGATCAAAATTAGCAGCATTCGTGCTTGACTGTGTTGAATGTAGAGAGAGTGGAATGTTATGTGTTTTGAAGTAAAAAATAATCTTACGAAACCAACAATTTAACATACCTGCAAGATTATTACTGTATATGACCATAATAAAAAAATTATGCAACATTTACAATGCTACTTTCCATATAGAAAGAAGCTGCTAAAAGAGAAGAAGCATTTGCGTCCTTTGAAGCTTGGAAGGCTATGAAAGAAAAAGAAGCAAAACAATTGGCTGAGAAAAAAAAATTGGAAGCAGCAGAGAAAAAGAAAGAAGCCGAACTAAACAAGAAGAAAAAGGAAGAGGCACAAAAGGCAGTGGTTTTTATCTTGCAAATGTTAATTTTGGTGAAAAATCATAAGACACTGAACTCTATTATAATCAGTGCTCTCCAGATAGTCCTCGATTTATCACCGCCCTCTTTGCAACTATTTAAAGTTAGGGATGCTTGAAAAGCCACCTTCAATCTGGTTTCAAAGTTACTGCTGCTGCAGTGCCCCCATGGTCATATGAGCAAAATTCAGGCAAATTCGTCTTAAATCTAATTGCAGGGACAGTGCAGCAGGCTTTCCATCTACTCTCTAACCTGCTCTGCCTTGGGCTTGGTCTACACCTGCTCTACACTGGCCTTGGGCTTACTTCTTACTGCACTAGATTCCACCTGTCACTAATTGCTCGTTTACTTTCTGTAGCTCTCTGAAGCTTGTGTTAGGGAAGGAGAGCAGACCGTTCCTTTCCTTGGCATCCCTAGGCTGCATGGCTCTGTCCAGGAACCAAGCACCATCTTCAGAGCAGTTGCCATGAAAATGGCACCTGCTTCCAGGACTATGCCATGTGGCTTGCAGGGATGCTGAGGGTAGAATAGCCCGCACTCCTTCCTAACACAAAGCTTCGGAGATATACAAAAAACGAATAAGCAATTCGTGACAGGGGTCGGACAAAGTGTGGTAAGAAGCAGGCCCAGGCCAGCGTGGCAGGAAAACGCTGTGGGACTCTCAGGGGCAGGGAATGGACCACGAAGGCGCCTTGGGGTGGGGGAGGACTTGGAGGCCGGGGCAGGTGGCCTGGGCTTAACGCTAGACTTCCCAGAGACCCCCCCCCATCCCTGAAGCACCCCCATGCTCTACTTAATGACCTGTGCCATGGCTTCACAACTGCATCAGGGGCGGGCATCATTAAGCAAGGCAACCATGTGGGTGTCTTGTTTAATGATCCTCATAACTTACAACCACAATGGGCAGGCTCCATTACGATGGTAGGTTGAGAACTATCTGTAATTAATTTTAAATTTCATGGCAATTTAAAACTTCCTTTTTCTTTACTAATTCAAGTGGAAAAAATATAAAAGTTTCTGGATCAAATCTAATGGATTTGTTATACACGTTTTAGGCTTTTGAGAAATGGAAAAAAAAGAAAACTGCATATTTAAAACAGCAAATACAAAAGGAGAAACGATTTGAAGGGTTCAAAAAGAAGAAGGAGCAGGAGGTTGTTGCAGAGAAGAGAAAAGACAGCAGATCTGCAGTTGAAAAATGGTATGCTTAATTTTGAATTTTATAAATTTGATTTTGTCCGCTTCCAAATAAGTTTGTTTTGCATAGGTAGAACTTCGTTACACATCTTACTATATTTTATGAAAATGCATATTTTGTCTCTGTTGTTGTGGGAAGAAAAATCCAGTTCAATTCCAAGCTGGGAAAAAGGCGCTGGAAATAAAAATAGAGGTTGACTGGAAGGGAAGAAGGTTTTTTTTAGTTTCCAGAAACTTCAGTGACAGTGGCAATGTTTCTGGGGTAACTGACACCTTGGCTGGGTGAATGGATGGATCTTAATAGGGTTCTGAGGTTTTGTGATTGAGATGCTCCAGAGCAGGGGTTGCCAACCTTTTGGACTTCAGGGACCACCAAACTCATAATTTTGAATCCCAGGGACCACTAGCCAGTTCTGTGGGCATGGCCTAATTTGTGGGTGTGGCTTGGTGGTCATGTGAGGGGCATGGAGACTCTACCTTTATCATTTGTTTTACAATATCTAAACATTCTGACAGCATTGGGCCGTGTTATCAATACATAGTTTAGATGAAAAGACCACATTATTTTTGAAACATGCCTATATGTTCCAGTATTAGTTTCATAGTAATTTTACTGACTACTGATAGGATAAGAAAAGCAAACAAGAAAAAAGTTATTTCCCTATACGAAGTTAGCACCCACCCCTCTCCTAGAAAAGGGAAATATTCTAGGAAATATTAAAAAGACAGAATATTATACCTCCCTGGATGAGAAAAGGAGAAACATGCTCTCTTCTGCTTGAGGCTGTTTTACTACAGCAGGAAGACTGGGGCTACTTTCTGCCTTTAAGAACATGTTTCTTCATTTCTGCTTTTGGGAAATATTCTATCCTGCCTCTTTTAATATTAAGAATAAAGAATATTTTAATCTGAGGGGGGCTTCCTACATTATAAACAGTTTTTTCTTTAACTGTCAGGAATGAGAAAAAAGAAGAATTCATGAAGCAAAAGAAAAAAGAAAAAATCCAAGAAAGGAAAAAAGAAATAGAACAAGAAGTTGAGAAAGAAGAACAAGATAAAAGAGCTCTAGATGAATATACAAAATGGCTGGTAAGTCTCTGTATTTGTCAATGTGAGATATAATTTTAGGTATGCATACACATTGAAATGTGCTTAAACTTTCATTCTGAAAAAACCAGATGGTGATAGTATAATCTTTCTTGTTAAGTTTTTACAGTGCATCTAGAAAACATCCAGATGCTTGTTATTTCAGTGATTGATTTCTGCCTCTACCAAAATTAAATATTGTTTACATAATGTAGAAAAATAATCCCGCTAGAGATATAAGAATAGTCAGATATGTTCAACCAGAATGTAATTGCTGTTGTCATGAAGGATGGAGTTGGGATGAGTTATCAGAAATTATTCATAAGAAGCCTATTAAGAGCCAAGTTACTGAGAAATAAATTTATCCTTCTCATAACTACCATTAGTCAGTTTGGTGTAGTGATTAAGGCTAGAAACTGTGAGGCTGTGAGTTCTAGTTCTGCCTTAGGTACAAAGTCAGCCAGGGGACCTTGGGCTAGTTACTTTCTCACAGTCCTGGGAAGGAGGCAATGGAAAATCATTTCTTCTTAATAAAACCTTGCTAAGAAAACTGTAGGAACTTGTTCAGGTAATCTTTGAGGATCAAACATGATTGAACAAAAGAAAAAAAATTGCTCGTATGATTTGCTCGTATGATTAGTTATCCTCATCCCACATGTTCTGTAATTCTTGCCTGGCTTCTTTAACACCCACTATTTCCTGGGTTTTGTGTATGTTTTAAGCAAATATTATACTAAACATTAAAGAGCTGTGCACTTTGAATCTAACAGGCCTGAGAAAGATATCTGAAAAAAATACTCCTACTGGCTCTTCTGCAGCTCCCTAAAGGAATCTCTGTATCTGCCTTTTGGTTCATGTTTTCAGTTATTTTCCCCCCAATATAATAATAATTTTAATAGTTTTCTTACCAAAAAGGGAAGTCCCTTTATTCTATAGAGAAGGATGAATCGGAGTACAGTTTGCCATATTAGTGGTTTCTGGTCCTGCTAACAGAGTCAGTAGAGTGATCTCTTCTCCTGTTCATTATTAGGAGCAACCATTCCTACAGCGCCATATCACCACTGCCCAGAATCAGCGTAGCATAGCAGCAGCTGCACAAGTGAGTGAATATAGTAGATACAAAGAAACAGTTTTATAAAATAGAAGGTGGTTGTTGTTTTTTAAATTGGAAAATCTCAAGTAGAGGTAGGTAGATGTTTCGATACTTGTGTGTGGATGCTACAAGAGTTTGATTGCCTACTTGAAGTTGCTTTACTTTCTGAGTTTTACAGTATTGTTGATGACAAAATCTTACAGTGTTAGCATACAAAAAAGAAGTTTCAGTTTGCAAGGATCCAACCTGGGTCCGTCACTTCTCTCTACCAGAATGTGTGCTTTGGGCTATTCCATGTGTAGTATTTATGTGGTGCCTGATTGCGTGCAGTTATTTAGTTGCTAATAGGGGCATTGATAGCTGGTTCTAGGGTGTTAATGGGTGGCTACTAAGTGATTGGCTGTTGTTTCCTTGTGCTGCCAAGTCCTTGGCTCCTAAGTACCTGACAAAGCTGGTGATAAATCAGCACTCCTTTGACTGGGAAAAGGCGGCTGTTTCACAGACTTCAATCATTTTGTCTGTCAGTCAACAGATGTGCTGATTTACATTTCATAAAATTTACTGATTGCTACCTGGAAGGTTCAGGAGAATTGGACCCAGAATGTGTTAGCTATTCCAGCAATATCCAGCGGGATTTTACAAATAAATAGGCAAGTCAAGGTGCACTTTGCCCATCTTTATTCTCTTCTGTGTGGCTTGTTCATAAGCCCTCATGTTGATGTCCTTGGTTTCAAGCATTGTATATCCAAATGGCATGCTATCCCTTGAATGATCTTCCCAACACCTTCCTGTGCCTGACCTCCTCCTAGCTGCCACTCCTATACAGTACCAACAATGTCCATGCATTTTTCCTGTTGTCCCCCATTATCTTGAAAAATATCTACCTAGAGACATAAACATGTTTCAGTTTGATCACAAGCCATTTGAAGCTTTCTTACTATGTATTGGACAGAATTGTTTGTGTGTGTCTCTTTTGATTTCTTTTGGTGTAAGATGAGAAATTTATGACTTGCAACTTGAGGATGATATATAAGATATAAAATCTGTTATGCTGAGTTACAAAGGAAAACACAGAACAGTGCATTTATGGGCAACAAAAAATTAAGATGTAGAGTGGATTCAATAAGTTATGGAGAATTATAGAAGGAAAAGATACTCCTGGCTGGCAATAAGTCCAGATGTTAACGTATCCTAATTTGCAGTTCTTTGGTACCATCAGGGTTTTAAAGGCCCAATAGCCACACTTTTAGAATATTTGGGGAAATTTGTAATAGTGGTGAATATTTAGAATATTTGAGGAAGTGCTGTAGTAATAAGTAGTTTAAATTTAAATGTTTAATTTAAACCAAATGAAGTATTACAATATTTCTTATTTTCTTATCCTTGTTTTGATTTTAAAAAAGAATGCACGACTTCCGGTTTGTCGGCTTCGCGAGCGGCAGGGATTTGCGATTCCGCGCGATCCCTGCCGCGCTAGCCGCTTTTGATGCTCCGATCCGGATGGGTCCGGAGCTAGGCTACCCTGCAGGGGTAGCTGAAGATAGGGGGGATCCGGAGAGGGGTTTGGGGGTGTTGCAGACCCCCTCCCCGGACGGCAGAACCCCCTTTTCCCAAGATGGTGCAGGGGCGGTCCGCAATGGCCGCCACAAAGAAGCTGGCAGCTGGGCAAGTATGCGCAGGAGGAAGAGGAGAAAGCTTTTGAGAGTGAAAGTTTTCTTGGTTGATCCAGGACTCTAAGATACATTTACTTTAATTCCTGGAAATGATGGCTTTTTGGATGATTCTTTCCACAAGAGAAAATAAGCGGCAATTTTGAGGTGCTGAAAGGAAAGTTTATTCTCCCTCCCGACGGAATTAATAAGTGGATATTGAGAAACCTGGTTTTTTTCAGGTAAAACTAGCTTTATGGGATAAGTCGGAAGGGAGAGGACAAAAAATATATTTATCTGGTTTGATTTTGTTGGAGGAGATGCCTTAAGGATTTGAAGACAGAAATATAACTCTAATAAAGCTTCAAAATACAGATTTGGACTTTCTTTTTTCTTTTGTCTGATACTACCCCTGGAAGAGAAAGGGAGAAATTTGTCTTGGCTTGGATTGATTGAGGATTGTGGATTTTGGGATTGTTTTACTTTTTTTTGAAATATCTTGGTTGGTGTAAGAAGAAAGAGGGAAAAAAGAAAAGAAAAGATCTATAATGGCTTTTTCTTTTGAGGAACTGAGGGAAGAATATGAGCAAACAAAAGCAGCCTGTAAAGATGGTATGGAAAAAGCCTTCCTATTTTTAGAAATGGCGCTGGTTAACTATCAGCAAACAATACAACAGATGGAAGCAGAAGAACAACAACAAGAAGAAGACGAAGACGCCATCTTTAATGAATCCCAAAATTTATCTAAGAAAGAAGGAAGGAAGAAAGCGAGGAAAATGAAGGACTTAAGATCTAAAAAAACATTTAAGAAAGAGAAAAATATGATGCAAAATAAATATAATGATAGTAAACAAAAGAAAAAGGGAACACAACAGAGAAGGGATGCCAGCAAGGCAGAGGCTAGAAGAAGGGGGGTAGGAAGATTTGGTGGGGGAAGAAAGAAAGGGGAAAGGCGGAGAAAAGCCACAAAGTTTTGAAATTAGATGGGAAAAGAGGAATTTTTTTTAGGGACAAAGGGTAAAGTACAATTTCCTTAAAAAAGATTTTGCACGGTACATAAGATGGTATTGTAACATCTGTATTAGAAATAGAAAATTAGAATGGCTTAAAAGTTAATAAGAAATCAAAATGTTGAAATGTTTAATAATGACTGATTTTAAAATGTAATAAAATATTAAAGGGAAAGGCAATGGGAATGTTATAAGATTTAATATTTAGATTTATTATTCAACTATGTATTTAGGAGGGCACTATGTATTTAAACATTTTCGATTTATTACTCTGTTTTTATTGTTATTAAAAGAAAAAATTAGTAGATAGAATGTACCAAGCAGAATCAGATTGGGTATTAGGTGTTAGTTTAAATGTTAATCTAATTAATTTAGGGGGAGGATAGAAAGGCATCATACTCTGATTAGTGATTTCAGGAGAAATTCTTTTTTTTTTCTTCATTATAAGGAATGAGATAGAGGGATAATAAAGAATGGGCAAAAGATACAAATATAATGATTTAAATTAAGATGGATTAAATAAGATAGAATTATGAAGAGTGATGTGTGGAGAAGTTTATATAGAAGATATAGAATGGTAAACAAAATAGGTAATGATATGTAAGATGAGCATGAATATAATTAAAGCCCATATAAAGAGAGGTACCTGGGGCCAAGTTACTTTCCTAAAAGATTTTTTATATGTTTGTTTGTTGTGTGTCTATGTTTTTGAGAGTATTAATAAAACCTTGTAGAAATACAGAATGAAAATAATGGTAATCAAGTCAGAAAGAAATAGATGAAATAATAATAGTGAAATTGAATAAGAGTAAAGAGAAGTAAAGAGAAATTGGATAAGAGGTATTTTTATGCTCATATGGAAATGGCTTAAAATAGAATTGTATTGTATAAGATAAGGTTTTATCTGACTTGTAAAATTTATAATGGAAAAAGGTTCAAATATGTAATGGTTGATGATGATTTGTTTTTGAAATTAATAAAATTTGCTTAAAAAAAAAAAGAATGCACTATTACTTTTTTGAAGATTACAGTGTGACCCATATATTTCCCCCTTTCTGTAACTGTGGAGAATTAACTGGATGGCAAATTTATATTTTAAAAAAATCTGACATATTGCAACATATCATTATTATATGCTGCAACCACTGTAAATGCCAGTTGCCAAGCACTCAAATTTTGATCACACAACCAAATTTTGCGAAATTGTAAGCGCAAGGAACGAAGTCACTTTTTCAGTGCCATTGTAACTTTAAACAGTCACTAAAGGAACTGTTGTAAGTCAAATATTATCTGTTTTAAAAGAATTAAAATACTGAAGATGCCTGTGTCAGATCCATGTATCTGCCATTCTTCAATGGAAGAAGGAGGAGGAAGTTGGTACAAGTAATCCTTTTTGATATAACCTGAATATAGTAAATCCTATATTGATTCTGTATAACTTGCATATGATATACAACTGGAGGAGTGGAGCCAGATGTCTAGAAACTTGTCACCTCTTGAAGAGATAACAAGATGAGAAGGAACCATAAAAATTCCAGCTCTGGAAGACACTCCTGGGAACTCTGCTAAGATACATTCCCAGAAAAGGGGAGGGGGGAATTAACATGTTGGTTCTTTGTTTGACTAAATCCACATCTGAATAAGGGGAGGGGTTCTAACTCCCTTTATCTATGACTGTATGCCTGGGGATATCTTAGACTCTGCTTTGCATAGGGTTGAGATAAAATCCCTTTCAATAAAGGATTCCTTTTGAAACACCTGGTCTTCAGAAGTTTATTCTTTTTGGTTGAAGGGGAAAAGTCCAATGCTTACAGCCTGATCCCTTCTTATCATATAGCTTTCGAATATATTCAGTCAAGGAATTGTTTTAAGGAATATATATTTATACATATGTGTATAGGTACACTAATTGCCAGAACCAAATGCCTGGCAGACAAGACACACATAAAGACTCAACTATGCACCCTGACTGACAGCCAACGGCTTCCACAAAAGCAAAATCACCAGCTTGATCCATAAAAACACACTGAGACATAATGGAGACCTAGAAGATGAACAGATCTATGGAACAGCTGTCCTGCCCTACATAAGAGGTACTATAGACAAAATCAGTAAGATACTACACAGTCATCACATCAAGACTGCCTTCAAAACAGACAGAAAAATAGCAGCCATCCTAAGAAACCCCAAAGATACAATTGACCTGGAAAACCAAGGCATATATGAAGTCCCGTGTGCATCATGCCCTGCCACATACATTGGACAGACCAACAGAAGAATAAGTACCCGCCTGGATGAACACAAAAATGCAGTAAAAAAGCTGGAACACACTTCCTCACTAGTCCAACACATGAAAGCCACAGATCATAGCATCGACTTCAATGGCACCAAAACCCTAGCCACTATAGAAAACCCCAGCTACAGAATTATCAGAGAAGCCATAGAGATTGAAAAAAGACCTGAAAGCATGAATAGAAGAGATGATTCCACCAGACTGTCAATTATCTGGAAGACTGCACTCTCAAACAAAAAAATCTCCACACCACAAGCCAGGCAAACACCTGGGCACAAACAGACTCCCCGATACCTCCAGCTCAAACACACCCCAACCAGGCACCCAGATGAAACCTAGCTTCCTAATAAATGATAGCCGTCCGTTTACTCGGAGCCAAGCTGCACTAAAAGCCTCCAATACAGGAAACACAATATTGCCAGCCAATCAAGACAAAAAAAAGCCACAAAACAGACAGAAGATATTAGAAACACCAATCAAGCAGAATACAGCAAACTCCAAGACCAATAAACACAGACCAAGACTCCCAACCAATCAGGATGAAGAAAAAACCATTCTGGCACAGCAGTAGGCTAGCCCCAAATTTAAAACAGAAATGGCTGTGAAAGTCTGACTCACAGACGAACACAATACAGAAGACTGATGATGGCAGATGAGATTCTGCCGAAACGTTGCTACAACTTTAAAAGCACAACTATAATGACGTGGGAAAATACCCGAACAAAGCTGAATACCATACATACATACATACAT